CGTTTTGTATTTCCTTTCAAGCGCTATCCACAGTTGTTTTGACGTCTCCATATTACTATAGACGTTATACAGATTGTCCTCTAGTCCACTAAGAATGTAATTCTTGCATAGAAAATCAGAATGCTTCTACGACTCAGTCACAAGAAAGCGTTCATTTTCTGGAGTTTCGTCGGGCAGAACAGGAACATCTTCCTTAATGAACTTCTGCAGACTTAAAGTCGTCAAGTAGAAGAACATCTTCTGCTGCCAGCGCTTGAAGTCAATCACAAAAAAATTTCGGGTATTTCTGCCTGTGCCAATGCCGGTGTTGTTCGGCTTGTCGATGCGTTGGCAGTTACCATAGGAACAGTCTGGTTCCCGTTGTCATTCGTCATTTCTGTAAAAGAATGACAGAAACAAACGTTAAAATCACGTAGATTTTAATCTCCACTGGAGTAGAAAACCACACAGGTTTTAGTCTCCAGAAACAGTGAAAATAACACAAATACAGAAAATATTAAATTCCTTAAGCTTGTTATTTAGCTGTATTTGTAAAAAAATTATGGAGAAGATAAAATAATATAAATGTAAAAGAAACAGAATTTAATCCGAGCCCACTGAATTCACAGTGTTTCCTTAAGGAATTTAATCCTCTCTTAGTACCCAAGGTTGTGGAAGAAAAGAGGAGAAGTCAGAAATTCGTATGGAAAATCTAACCAAATCAATCAATCGATCATTTGCCCAAGCCCAAGCCCAAGCCGAGCGAGCGACGACGACGGCGCGAGGCTTGCCTTCTTCTCGACGACGACGACGGTGCAATTGTATATATACCCATCAAAATCTTTTCCTCTTCCAATATGGGACAATAACCCTTTGTCAAGGAGGGAAACTCAAATATTTTTAATTTCCCTCCATTTCCCATTCACCCTCTTTTAAGCTACATTTAAGCTTAAAAAATCCAACAATAGGTACATATATTTGAAGGATATTGGGGGGAAAGAAATTAAGATAATAGATTAAAAACAGTATACATAAAAAGGTTTTATTTAGGATCCTAGGATATATAATCATCAAAGAAAAGAATAGCAGGCAGTTGATTTTTGTCAATTTTAACCGCATAAAACTTGGGTTAAACCCGCATAGACCCACAACCCGTACTGCCATACATCAATTTTTTAAACAATTATTTAAACTTGCACCACCCCGCATAATCTTAAACCCGCACCGCCCGTACACGCACCGCCCGATTGTCATCCCTACATTGGAGTCATTACCCAACTCATTATTTTATCCCAAGTTATTATTTATTCTCTTTTAGATAGATCCAAAAAGTGCCAATAGTTGGAAGACCTCCTTGATAAATATTTACACGATCTGACTATTCACTGCATAATAAATCTTTTGATAAATATTAATTAGAATCTGATAAAAAGAATAAACCTGTGATTTCACTGATAATGTTAAAAGATATTAACACTATGTTGCACATAATTTAAATCCTTAATTAGTTTACTAAATGAATTGTCGGATATGTTATTAATCCTCTTTGCCACAGAACATATATATGTCCTGTAGGAACTGGAAAGTCTCTTTCAAGTTTCAAGTTTTCTGCGTATTATCTTAGGTTAGGACGATGAAAATTTGGACTTTAGGTAGCAAAAACCTTATTAACTTGTCAATCTATTGTGTCCTTCATAACAAGTGCTTTATTGAAAGTACACATTAATTTTTATGGGTATTAAAGTGTCTAATAGGTATAAGGATTAGTTGAGGTGTTAAAGTAAACATTTGTATTAACTTTAATTATGCATTTGACCTTTTCCTTTGTTGTCACATAATTGCAAATTACCAGTCCTTAAAGTATTTAACCTGGTTTTATTTGACATTTATAGTTCTCAAGTCAATCTTTTGGGCAGGCAAGGGAGTGGGTGGTAATATCATATACTTGTGTACAATTTTTTGTAGAGAAGCAATTAAAGTAGTAGTAGTAGTAATTATTTATGCATCTAAAATACTAAGCTTCGAAATCTCGAAAGTCAAAATAAGCCTGTTAGGTTTGAATATCAAACTGATTTTTGTTATATAAATAAAAAATTATTCGATCGAATACATAACAAACCACTTTTCCTTCTAAAATATGTAGGCGTGTTGGTTAAAATTAAAGAAAAGATTTTCACACTTAATAACTGAACATCATTCTGATTAATAACACTTCGTAGAAAAGAACAGTGATTTCTTAACAAGCCTGCATTTGCCTTCTCCACCGACACAAGTTAGCCTAGTTATTTTATTCTAACAATGCAGCCGTAGATCTAACTCATAACAGGGTTTTATTAAATAAGGTGTAGTAAAAAGAAGACCAAATCAGAAGAGAATCTTGGGCCGCTTCTATTGGTTTAACTAAATTCATTATTTTCTGCTTGAACTGCATAAAAAATAAATGTACATATATCTACATATAATAAAACTACACTCATTCTAAAACCACCAACTCTAGATTCTGGATTCATCTGAACTAAACTCTGGTATTTCAGCGTTAATGGCAAGTTAATTACCTTGCCATGATTACCGTCAATGGATACATTAATGTTGCAAAAAATGTTGCTACTAATTAATTGATACAAATCGTCAACAAAATACCAAGAACAAATCACATACTTTTATTAATGACAACATAGTCAATAGTGTTTCTCCGTGTATGAAATGGAGTTTGAAATGTGTAATATTACGTACAAAAACTTGTCCTCCTCTTCCTCCTATATGCAAAAGCAGGAAAAAGAGAATAAAAAGAAACTCAGTAATAGTAATATAGTACTATGAACTGGACCTACTAAACTTATTTTCCAATGTAATCAGCATCCCGTAGAATCACAAAGTGAGAATAATAAATATGGAGCTCGTGCTATCTAACTAGCTTGTATATTCTCCGGTATAATAACTTTGAATATATTTCCCTAAGCATAGCCACAATATCCATAATCACATGGAACTCCAGGCAAGCAAGCTTTGTTACATTTGCCACAATGCATAGGATTATATACGACATCAGTACAAACCCCACCACAACAACGTTGTCCAAACTTACATTTTTTCCCACATACACCGCAGTTGTTCATGTCTCCTAGTACATTTCTGCAATGCTTCTTGCAGCAATAAAGCATGCTCGTTCCATTATTTGCTGGCACCCCATTGCAAATATTGTATTTTTTCGCGTCACAACTCGTACCTTTCTTGATTTTTTTAACGTATAAGGACTTGCCTCTTGAATTATCATAAGAAAATGCTGTATCAAGAATCCATTCTTCGTCTTGATCTTCGGCGTCATTATCATAGAGAAAATTAGAGTTTTGATCAGCGTTAATTGAAGATAGGAGAAGTGGGAAAATAATGAGACAGAAAATGGCAGTGAGTTTGAGTACTAAGATGGAGTTGATTGTTGCCATTCTCTCTGAGTCAAGTCGAAGTATGTGATCGATGTCTCTTACAAGAGTGAAAGCCAAGAGAGGCAAAGGGGTCATATATCATTTAAAAGTTGAAGATTGTTTGATAAAATATTCCTTATTTTAAGGGAGGGATTGTTCTCTGCTTGTGCCCAGAATTTATTAGATGGGGAATCATTATTTGTTTAATTAGTCCAAAGCTCTGGATCCTATAACCATAGCTATAGCGAACTCCGGAAGCAAGCTTGACTTCTATAATAGAAGTAAAGACATTAATAGCTAGCTAGTGGAATAATTAAAACATTGTTTGAAAAATCTAAAATCTAATACGACGATCTAATATGTAAGTATACATTTATACCTACAGTAATTTTCATGCACGAAAGGATGTTATGCCCATGAAACAAAAGCAATACTTGGAACTACTTTTCCTCGACAACTTTTTGAAAAGATTGTTCAAACAAACGTACTAACTATAGATGTGGATTAAAAATATTGTCTATGAATTCAAAATTTTATGTCAATATGCATAGAGTAACACTACACTGTTACGATGAATGATAAACAGTAAAAGCGCGTGCACATTTTGCCGAATAGGTTGATATGTCCAACCACTAAAAGAGAGCTGGAAAGTATTAACCTTGAGCCATACATACAAATTAGATTCAATATTAACTAAAATTATTTTGATATTACTCACTGGTCTTTCTTATTTATCATATAGGGTTTTGACTTTTGACATACCCGAAACGAAGAATAAATTAATTACTACTCTTATAATTTAGTTGAGAGCCATAAGGTCTCAAGTTCAAATTTTAATGTAATGGGGTCCATCTCATTCAAAAGTCAAAGTAATATGCATGTGCCTAAGGAAGATATTTGGCTGAGTATTGATTTGGTTAGGTAGCCAACTTTGTTGAATTTCTTTAGTTTGGTAACCAACTTTGTTGAATTGTCGACATTGAAGAAAAAGAAGGAAAATGTGTGCAAATTGTCAAATATAGTAGGCTTTAGAGAGTGAGGCTTCAGCTACAAAAGGAGAGTTTCGGCTCTCATTTCTACACACCAAAAAAGAGAGAAAGAAAAGATGAGGTTTCACAGACAAGGTATAAAAAAATAGTCCGTGAGAAAAATAGAGAGTGAGCGATATTGTAGTGAGGTAGGAATATCAAAAGAGGGTTATTTCTTTTGAGTGTTGTAGTGGTCTTTGGAGTATTTTACTCGGACCTACAAAGTGTAAAATTCCTTGCTATTGTGATATCAGTTGCTCGTCTCGGGGACGTAGTTTTTTTTCCCTTATTCAAAAGGGGTTTTTATATAAAAATCTTGGTGTCGTTGTCACTCTTTTAATTCTTGTTAATTACCGTATCTCGGTGCTACGTTATTATTCCACTTTTATTACTGTGAATATTATTTTTGTAGTGGTTTAATCCCAACACAATGAAGGCAAAAACATTAGATATTTTTTTATCATCTATTTAAGACTTGATAGATAAAGTTACATAATACTTGTACTGGATAAGAGCTAGTAGATATTCAGTAAAATTAATTGAGATGTGCACAAGCTGACCCGACATCATAATTGTCGAAGTTTTTTTTTTTAATACTAAATCACTCTAATTTCTTCCTTTAATAAATAAGTAATGATGTATGCCTTTTTGGACTATTAAGGGTGAGTAGTTAAAAAAACAATAAATGTTTTTTTAGTTTTTTTAAGTGACAAGTGTCTTGTAATGGAATATAAAACTAAATATCCCAGTAGTATATACTAACACCTCATTACTAAGTATTAATTGGTCATTAAGATGGAAAAGGAGGGGTAGAGTGAAGAGTAATTTAGGATCGAGTTTAATTTTTGCTTGAACCATAAGACTGATGGCACCCATATACCACGTTGAATAGATCCGATTTCCCGGCGGGCAAAACGCGAGATTATGCCTTTTTTCCTCACGGCCTCTCATGCTAGATCCTAGGCGTCCCGGCGACCCCGGTTTAAGTAATTCATGTGATAGGTGGTTTCCATTATCAAATTTGGACCGTAAACACTGCTTAAAATGGAGCCATCACATGGTTGACTTCTTTTCCTCAACTTATGCACATGCCTCTGCCGCCCCATTTTATACTATATATTCTACTTTGGTTTTGAAAACTATTTAACATTTGGTGTTTACACCCAGCAGCATTTGGTTGTTATAATTAGTTTTACAAAAAAAGGTACAAATGAATACTGATTAATATTAATTATATATAAAATTACAGTTTATAATGTTATCAAGTATTATAGAAGGCTAAATACATAAGAAGACACTTAAATTTGTCACAAACTTTTTTTAGACATCTTAACCGGTCCTTGTTCCGATTGAATAATTGTAGTAGATCCAAAATGTACCAATCATACATTTCGCATTGACTTGGAAATACCTCAAGCTCATGTCTGCAAATGTTCCTTACATGGAATAATTAACCAAGTAAATTACTTTGGTGTGAAAGATGAGCCTAAGAAAAGTATGGAGAGCTGTCCAACAGAGTGTGAAAATGATTTGTTACAAGTGAAATTAAAAAGTTAATTGGCTAATTGTTCCACTTAAGGAACGCTTGCAGACACTCACTTGATGTATTTCCAAGCCAGTGCAAAATGTGTTTGATTGGTACACGTTAGGCCAATTACAAATATTCAATCGGAACAAGGCTTAATTTCAGTTTCTAAATGAAAAATTATGTCAATTGTAAGTGTATACGGTCGAGATCGAGTTCGCATATGACATGAAAGGACGAACTCGGAACATAACAATGCTAGACTGAAGATCGGCCCCGAGTCACACCGGGCTAAAACCCGGGGTCAGGATACCTGCCTTCGAGAACATTGAGTCCGACACCCCGGAATCGACCCTAGCCCCGAACGAGCACTAAGAAATATTGTTAGCATAACCAACAGAAGACCGAAATATCCGTAACCGGGCAGATATTGCGACGAAAATCTCGGCGCGTATCAGTAAGGAACTGACGATCAGCAAATTAAGGAATTTTTACCTTTTATAGAATTGTACCTAAAGTAGGAATCCTCTATTATATAAAGGGGGTTTGATAATCCATTGAACATTGTAACACGCATTCCAAAGCAATACATCATTATTATTTTCTCTTTAAAATCTTGTTCTTCTATATCCTGACACCGATCGAAGCGTACCTGGCTCGAGCGTGATTAACCTTTCAAGGCTAAGACTGTTCAATTCATGTGGTTTGCATTTACTTTACCATTATTTATTTCAATTGCAATCTAATTTATCTTTTTGTGTCAAGTTAGTCCACATATCCTTAAAACCATTTACAAATTCAATTGTTATCCGATTTTGAGGGTAAACAGTTTGGTGCCTACTGTGGGGCTAAGGATAATAGTGGTTATTTTATTCAAATCTCCATAACACACACTACTTTACACTTGTTCTTTGAAGTGCCTCTAATTGCAGGTTAAAGTTCAAAATGTCGAACTCCCAATCAACACCCCTACATGTTGACAATGAGTCCGGTCATCACAGTGAAAATAACAACATAGTGCCCGGTGACGAGGTACCGCCCGTTGATCCCATCGAAATTCTAGCCGCAGACCTGATTGACGCTAATTCACATGTGGCTATCGACACAAACCTGCCTACCGACCCAGAGAATAGCGTCCGTGGTAGAGCCCGATCTGTAACGACCCGACCGGTCGTTTTGAGCCCTAGCACGTCATTCAGCGATTTGAGGCCCTGAGCAACTTCACTTCAGGTATTATGACTTTTGCGCGTGGTCGGAATTGAATTTCGGGAAGTTCGAAGTTGATTTGGAAAGAAAATTCTAATTTCGGAAGCTTTAAGTTGGAAGAATTGACTAATATTTGATTTTTGAGTAAACGACCTCGGAATCGGAATTGGAAGGTTTCAACAGGTTCGTATGATAATTTTGGACTTGGGCGTATGTCCGGATCGGGTTTTGGATAATCCGGGAGCATTTCGGCGCCTATTGTGGAAGTTGGAAATTTTGGAAAGATTTTATAAATTTGGGTTGAAGTGCATTTCAATGATACCGATGTCCGTTTGGGATTCTGAGTCTGAGAATAACTCCATATGGTGATTTTGGTATTGGGAGTGCGTCCGGATGTGGATTTGGAGGCCCGTAGGTCATTTCGGGGTCATTTGGCAAAAATTGGAAATTTGGTTAATTTTGAGAAGTTTGACCGGGAGTGGACTTTTTGATATCGGGGTCGGATTCTGATTCCGGAAGTTGGAGTAGGTCTGTAATGTCGAATGTGACTTGTGTGCTCAATTTGAGGTCAATCAAACGTGTTTTGATATGTTTCGACATCGATTGTAAAAGTTTGAAGTTTTAAAATTCATTAAGTTTGAATTGGGGGTGATTCGTATTTTTAGCGTTGTTTGATGTGATTTAAAGGCTCGACTAAGTTTGTAATGTGCTTTGGGACATGTTGGTATATTTGGTTGAGGTCCCGAGGGCCTCGGGTGGATTTCGGATGGTTAACGAATCGAATTTAGCCTTATGAAATGCTAAAGCTGCTATCACCTGGTGTAACCGCACCTGCGAGGTTTTGGCCGCAGGTGCGGGACCATAGAAGCGGCCAAGGGGTCGCAAAAGTGGAGAAAGTCAGCCAGGGGAAGGACCGCAGGTGCCGAGTTTTGGACGCATCTGCGCAAGCGCAGAAGCGAAGCGTGGGGCGCAGAAGCGGTAGAAAGCGCAGGAGCGGAAGGAAGCTCGCACCTGCGATGTCGCAGAAGCGGGGGTCTTTCTGCATGTGCGAGGCCTTGTGTTTGGGGTGAGTTCTGCAGAAGCGAAGGCATGGTCGCAGAAGCGACGCCGCAGGTGCGAAAATATCGTTGGGCAGATTGATTTAAGAACGAGACTTTTGGCTCATTTTTTCCTATTTTTCACTTGGTTGGGGTGATGTTTGGAGAGTTTTAAGGAGATATTTTCATCATCTATGTCAAGGTAAGTGATTCCCACCTATTGCAAGTTAAATACTTGGATTATATAAGGATTTAGACTTGAGAATTAGTAGAAATTTGGGATTTTGAAGAAAAACCTAGAAATTAATATTTTTGGATTTT